ATTTTTTGGCAACGAAACGTAATATTTGTCATAGAATGTCTTTTTTTGGAATAATTTTTCTTACACATCGCAAAAGATCGTCGCAGTAAAATATTTTTCTTCTAGTGTAATATCCAANAAGGGGAGGGAAAGAGGGAGTGGAGATAAGCCGAGATAATTGTTTTTTTTTTTTTTGGTTACAAAAAAAAATAAATTTAAAATTTTTTTAGCGATCACAAACTAATGGCTGCTAAAAAAAATTATTTTAGCAAAGACTTAATATTGCCGCTGAATAGCAGCTCTTTTAAATTAGTCATTAAATAAAAAATTATTTGATTTGTGACGACTAAATTTGTCGCCAAAAACATAAACTTCTTTGCGCCAAAAATGGCCGATGGCGAGAATTTTTTTGTAACCACATTTGGCGACAAGTATAAATAATTGTTGCCAAGTTTTTTTTAATATTTTTTGGCAATGAAACGTAATATTTGTCATAGAATGTCTTTTTTTGGAACAATTTTTTTTACACATCGCAAAAGATCGTCGCAGTAAAATATTTTTCTTCTAGTGTAATATCCAATGGAGTTGGACTAAATTTCAAGGCCCAAGAAGTAGATAAGAGAACCAAGATCTTTTGTGTCAAAGTGCGTGTGGAGAAAAAGTTAGAGATTAGAAATACCAAAAACATCATCCTTAGTGATAATTATATCATCAATATAGAGAAGAAATAGAGTAGTGTCATGCTTAGACTAACGAACAAAGAGAGCTGAATCATAAGAACTGAAAGAGAAACCAAAATCTCCAATGGTAGCACTAAACTTTGCAAACTAGACTCTAGGGGCTTGCTTGAGCTCATATAGTGCACGACGGAGTNCAGAAATACCAAAAACATCATCCTTAGTGATAATTATATCATCAACATAGAGAAGAAATAGAGCAGTGTCATGCTTAGACTAACGAACAAAGAGAGCTGAATCATAAGAACTGAAAGAGAAACCAAAATCTCCAATGGTAGCACTAACTTTGCAAACTAGACTCTAGGGGCTTGCTTGAGCTCATATAGTGCACGACGGAGTCCGACAAACCTGATGTGGTGAATGAGGATAGCCAGGAGGAGGCTGCATGTAGACTTCTTTAGTAAGGTCACCATTGAGAAATACATTTTTGACATGCATCTGATATAGTTTCTACTGGCGTGTCGCAGCAACAACTAGTAGGCTTCGAATTGAAGTGAGACCAGCAACGAGAGCAAAAATCTACTCATAATCAATATCATACTCTTGTGTAAAGCCCTTGGCCATTAGACAAGCCTTGTAACGCTCAANCATCTGATATAGTTTCTATTGGCGTGTCGCAGCAACAACTAGTAGGCTTCGAATTGAAGTGAGACAAGCAACGAGAGCAAAAATCTACTCATAATCAATATCATACTCTTGTGTAAAGCCCTTGGCCATTAGACAAGCCTTGTAACGCTCAATAAAATCATAAGAGCAAGTCTTGATCTTATAAATCTATTTACAACCAATAACCTTTTGATTAGGAGGAAGATAAACTAAGTCCTAACTATGTGTGTCAGTTAGTGCCTACAATTCCTCTGTCATTGCTTATTGCCAATGAGGTCAGAGCTAACCTCGCGATAAGAGTGAGGTTCATGCTGAGATAGAATAGTGAAAAAACAGTGATAATCATATAAATGACAAAGAATGTTCCTTATTCGAGTGGAATGACGCTGCACTTGGGTACAATGCCTAAAAATATCACTCTAAATGATATCTTTAACCTAAAAANACCAATGAGGTCAGAGCTAACCTCGCGATAAGAGTGAGGTTCATGCTGAGATAGAATAGTGAAAAAATAGTGATAATCATATAAATGACAAAGAATGTTCCTTATCTGAGTGGAATGACGCTGCACTTGGGTACAATGCCTAAAAATATCACTCTAAATGATATCTTTAACCTAAAAATAAGTTCAACTGACGCCTTTATGTTAAAAGCGTCGATCCAACAGACTTTTTTAGGTTTGAGAATTATTTTCAAATAGGGCCGGCCCAAGAGCATATCTAAAAAAACTTAGGCTTTAGGCCCCATTTTAAAGGAAGGCCCCAAATTTTTATATACCATAAATAACCAATGTAAAAAAAGCCTTATAAAAATATAAGCTCAATCAATTATTTAAGCCTATAGTTCAATCCANAGCGTCGATCCAACAGACTTTTTTAGGTTTGAGAATTATTTTCAAATAGGGTCGGCCCAAGAGTATATCTAAAAAAACTTAGGCTTTAGGCCCCATTTTAAAGGAAGGCCCCAAATTTTTATATACCATAAATAACCAATGTAAAAAAAGCCTTATAAAAATATAAGCTCAATCAATTATTTAAGCCTATAGTTCAATCCAAATATTAAATATGTTTAAAAAATTAACTGGAAAAAAAAAGTCTAAACTCAAAAGTCACATAAAATTAAAAAAAAATCAAAAAATCAAATCATTACCTTACTTTTAACTCTCTCACTCTCTCTCTCTCTCACACACACACACACACACACAAAAGCAATCCTATATTGATGGCTTAGATTTTTTAAAATACGAGTTTTTTTTTTATATTGATGGCTTAAATTTATTTTTAGAGCTAAATGTTTTAAAAGAAANAGTCTAAACTCAAAAGTCACATAAAATTAAAAAAAAAAATCAAAAAATCAAATCATTACCTTACTTTTAACTCTCTCACTCTCTCTCACACACACACACACACAAAAGCAATCCTATATTGATGGCTTAGATTTTTTAAAATACGAGTTTTTTTTTATATTGATGGCTTAAATTTATTTTTAGAGCTAAATGTTTTAAAAGAAATTTTATAAACGACAAAAAATACTCCAATTGATATACTAAATTATATAAAAAAGTTAAATTCTTTTTCAAATGCATGAATTGCTTATATAATATTATTTACAATTTCTATAACAGTTGTTTGTTTCTGTGAAAAAAGTTTTTCAAAATTAAAATTTATAAAATCTTACTTAAGATCGATTATGTCATAAGAAAGATTAATTGAATTAGCGATATTATNATGTGAAAAAAAACTTTTCAAAATTAAAATTTATAAAATCTTACTTAAGATCGATTATGTCATAAGAAAGANCTGTGAAAAAAGTTTTTCAAAATTAAAATTTATAAAATCTTACTTAAGATCGATTATGTCATAAGAAAGATTAATTGAATTAGCGATATTATTAATTAAAAAAGATATGATAGAAAAACTTGAATATAAAAACTTAATCGATAATTTTGCAACTCAAAAACAAGAAAAATTAATTTTAAACAAAAAAATATTAATACTAAACATAGAAGGTCTTATTTAGAAGTATCGCTTTAAATCCCAAATTATCTTGAGCCACCTCTATTTTAAAAGTTATCCAATTTTGGGTATAAGTTTTTAAAACGGATTGGATTTGGATAAAAGCTCNGTCTTATTTAGAAGTATCGCTTTAAACCCCAAATTATCTTGAGCCACCTCTATTTTCAAAGTTATCCAATTTTGGGTATAAGTTTTTAAAACGGATTGGATTTGGATAAAAGCTCACGTTATTGTTTTTATTTTTGTTTCAAATTCTTTACGCGTATATTTTTTTATCTATTCTTTTTTGGGTAATCCGGATTCACTCATTTCTTCCTAACTAAATCGCATGTTAAACAGCACAAAATAACTGTGTTAATACATATAGATAGTTGATTTCTACAATATATAATCAAATAAATTTAAAGTTATTTTTCACTTAAAAAACTGTTATCAAATGGCGCATAAATTAATGATCTACCTGGTAGATAATTAAAAGTAAATCCAAATAATTTTTTTTAATGATTCTGAATTTAATATGCATATCCANCGTAGATAGTTGATTTCTACAATATATAATCAAATAAATTTAAAGTTATTTTTTACTTAAAAAACTGTTATCAAATGGCGCATCAGGGATTCTGAATTTAAAAGTAAATCCAAATAATTTTTTTTAATGATTCTGAATTTAATATGCATATCCATCAGGGATTCTCCATCATATCCATCAAAAAAACAATTAATCTGGCAGAAATAGTAACTAATCCTATACAAAATTTATACCGAACCCTGAGTAGGATTAATACAGTGAATTAGATAGATTTCAAACTGATTTGGCCCAACCTAAAATGGAAACTTGTTTAACCCTCAGATTAAATTATATTTTCAAAAACCAAATTGTTCTAGTAATAAGAAAGGGGCTTCCAAACATTCAAACGTTGGTCCCTTAGGAGACTACTAGGAAATCACAAGTANATTTTCAAAAACCAAATTGTTCTAGTAATAAGAAAGGGGCTTCCAAACATTCAAACGTTGGTCCCTTAGGAGACTACTAGGAAACCACAAGTACATGAAAATACATTTCAAAGATAGATAGATAGATGGATAGATACTTTGCCATTTTTAGATAGATATGTGCCAACTAATTACATAATTTTAATTTGCTTTTCAAACCATGAATGTAAATGGTGAGCTCGATACCCTTTCACATACANTCACAAGTAAATGAAAATGCATTTCAAAGATAGATAGATAGATAGATGGATAGATACTTTGCCATTTTTAGATAGATATGTGCCAACTAATTTACATAATGTTAATTTGCTTTTCAAACCATGAATGTAAATGGTGAGCTCGATACCCTTTCACATACACCTAAGTTCATATATTTGAGGGTGCATTCATATATATATATATATATATATATATGATAAGGTATGAGCAGTAAGTAACATATCAATCTTTCGTTGAGTGTGACTGCTTTCTATTACTTGTTTACTGAAATGGTGAGAAAATCTGTAACTCCCTCTCTCTCTCTGTCTCTCTCAATACATGTTGAGGAAGTTAGTTAACACTTAAAAGAAGCGAAAAGGTCAATGACCTGATAGTGAAAAATAGGTAGTTCACAGACTTGAAAATGTGCTTATATGTGCAGGGTATTTTCACCATTTTATTGATGTTGTGCATGGCTACGTGGGGATCAAGCAATAAAACGTATACTCCAGAAGCAAAGTCGTCAGTCAATGTGATGCAATATGGGGCAGCAGGAAATGGGAAAACAGATGATTCCCAAGTAAATACTATACATCTGCTCCTGAACTTTTTTTTTCCTAGTTTTTTCATAACGAAGAATTGTCCTTACCACATAGACCCACCCGTGATAGCAACAAAAATTCTCTCACTGAGGTATTAGTTGAGCTGTTGTGTGCACTACTATGATCTTCAACTACTATGAGGTATATATTAGTTGAGTTTTTTGTGTAAAACTTACAACTTATTTTTTATTTTTTCTGTATGGTATGGTATCGAAAAAAGTGAATGGCGATAGAATAGTGTTTTCCCCTTGATATCCTCATACATAACACAGTTATGAATTGCAGTTTTGCTTCTTTTTTTTAATCAGACATTTATTGATGACTTTGAGGCCATTATTCCAGGGCATAAATATTGGTGTAAAAATATTAAATATGGAATCCCGGGGGGGAGGTTTAAGTGATTAGTTGGTTTTCTTCTTTTGCACAATTATTTCAAAATTTAGAAATTTAACTCGAATATTTTTTGTGAAAAATAGGCATTTCTGAAGGCTTGGCATGCGGTTTGCGGAGCTGGATCAAACAGTCCCATTCTCACCATTCCTGCGGGGAAGACATTCTTGCTGAAACCAGTGAGCTTTAAAGGTCCATGCAAGTCTGCTCATGTTAATATTCAGGTAAACTAAATATCACTTAGTTATTGTTATTCATTTATTGTTCACTTTTGTACGTACTAGAAAGAGCTTGCTACATTAATTTTCTCTTCGTCCCGGTGATTGAGGAGTCTCTCACTCTCATACATGATTTAAGTTGAGTCCTCCCCCCCCCCCCCCCCCC